GAGATTTGTATCAAAATTTAGAAAAGTAAGAAAACGATGAAACCTATGCCTGTCTCCAATATTTGATTTATAGTACATCATTCTAGTGTTTTAAAATGTTCTATTACATAAAAATCGATACAGAATTACCTGCTCTACAGAATGAAGCAAGATTTATTTTGGGACCGCCATATGCATGGCTTATATTTAAAAAGTATTGAGAAAAATGCAAATTTACAAATATGGAATATCTTAGTTTTCTAGTATTTAGTCCTAGATAGTTAAACATAGTATTATGTCTAAATATATGATCTTATAGAGTAAAAATTTCTCTTTCAAATGAGCCATGAAGGAATCATAGGAGTTTGATAGTTTTTCAGAAAATCGAAAAATTTGTGAAAATTCACGTTTTTTCTTCGAATGAGACATAAGCAAAAATAAAATAAAATATTCCCCCGGGCAGCATGGTCGATGCTGTGGCGGAGCTTCTCTTAAAAGCGAAAGCTACTTTACCTACTTTTTGCTATAAATCCTACCATAACGGACTTCAAAATCCTACTCTTACTCCTACGTTTTGATTTTTGCTATTACGAACCCTGCGAATATCGCATTCTCCCGGACTCAAATCGCATTTGAAAATTTTGAAGTCCGGTGATATGATACGTTAAGCAGACGTTTCAATTTATGAGCTAAGTTTTCTTCAGTGGCACAAAAATTTCACGAGAAAATAAGGTTAAATTAGATCAAGCATTATAGAAACATAAACATAATATAATTATAGCAATAATTAAACACTTACAATGACAAAGTAATTTTGTACAAGTTCACGAGATGTTGACGATAAAAACATTGTACAAATATGACAAAAGAAATACACATACATATGGATAACTTCACTTTCTATTACTTTCTTCTTGTTGTCATAAGCTTACCTTTTTCATTTCTGTGAAATTTGAAACAATGTACGCGAGGTGCAGACTAAAATGAAGAGAAAGACGTCTGTTAAACTTACACTCGTCTATATGTAGCTTATACAAGCAATAAGGATATAAGAAAGAATGTTGCTTGTGCAAGCAATAAATTGAGCGGACGAGACTGTCATAACGAGAAAGAAAGAAGACGGATACGGTTACTTGTCTGTTCTCATTCTTTGAGAGTAAGGAGTAGATTTTGATTGTTTAGTTTTGAAGGAATTTGGAACACAGTTTCTTTTGGAATTCCAAATTTCAAGTTTTTAAGTTTGTCAAGATAATCTTGTAGCACATTCTGCTGAGAGTTCTAAAGCAAAAATCCTCGATTATCCTCCACTATAGTACTGGAAAATGAGACGTGTTTTTTTAGAACTTACACAGTCTCAGACCTCAACTTCTGAGACTGTGAAACCAGGCATTTTTTTCGTTCCCATTTTACTATACAAGGACTAGTAGTTAGCGAAAGAGTCTTTAAAAAATGAAGGAGCAATGAGCGTTTTCAGATTAGTAGCAGGCTTTTCTAAGTATTCATAGGCAAAATGCACACTATTAAGAAAGAAAATTTCATAGATAAAGTATTTTTTTAGTCTGTTCTCTCTCCGAAGCTTTTGACTCTGTCCAGAACAATCGTAGCGGATGCAATTTTAGTCATTCATCATGCCTGTGTCTGTCTTCACATTGCTATCTAATTTTTCTTTCGTTTTCTGTCTTTATTTATAGAAATGCAAACACGTAAAATCCAACGTATTCCTGACTATTATCAATATTTAAGCGGACAAAAACAACTTCCATTACAACTACAGCAACAACAACGTCCACCTCATTCAACGAATGTAAAGAGGAATAATAACAATGATAATAAACTAGCACAAATAAAAACAATCTGTCAACGAATTATTATATCGAAAATTAACGTTAATCGAAAGAATACAGCTGATCAAATATGTGAAAATGAACAAATTGCAGATAAACTATTTAGTTATATTCAAAGAAACTTTAAGGTCAGTTTGATTTTTCTATTTAAGCATTTTCGAGGTGAGTTGCATTTCTTCTCAAAGGAGATGCTGACCTTGAGTACGACACATTTTCAAAGCAATAGCAATTTTCTGTTGAGACTGCTCTTCTCTAAATATTTGTTTTACTTCCTGTGCTGTGAAATCCTAACTTTTTTTTCTACATGAGCAAACGCGACAGAATTAATACCGTTGAGTCGCTGATTATTGTGCTTTCGCTTTAAATGTCTTGCGCTTGTTCACAGGGAAAGTCATTTCTATCTTCATATCAGGCCGTTTGAAGACCAGAGAGGGAGCTAGGTTTTTGTGCTTGATCAAGGTATATCTCGAATGCTTAAAAAGTGTCGCTAAAATCTTCCCGTATTGTTTTCTATTTCAGTTAAATTCGAGATATAAAACCAATGTACAATTATTATAATTACTAGATATTGATGTTAAAATTAAAACGTTGAACAAAATTATAACAATCAGTGATTTACGTTTTCATATTTATCGTGTTAATGGCAAATCGTATATTACTGAATCAATGCAAAAAAATGAAACAGCATGTAAGCACTTTTTTGGTTTATCATTTGTTACATCCGTTCGTGTTTTGCCATTAACATGATTGGTTTTTTTTTTTTGTTCTGATTTGTCTGCTATTTGCTTTGCTTGTTTACTTTTGTTGTTGTTGCTTACGAGGGAAGGTCCGTAGCTGATACCCTCCGATTTCGTTGATCTTTTGCCGATAGATACTATATGATGTCCTAGTCTTAACCTCCAAAGGATTTGGTTGTATAGCTCTTGTTTCAAAAGTTATGAATTTTTTAAGATTGGCCACTGAAGATCCTAATTCATCGTTGTTTACTTTCCAAAACTCGTCCACATGTGTACTGACCAACCAAAATCTTTTTGAACACTTATTCATATAGAGAAAAGTGTTCTCTTCAAAATGAGACGTTTCTGAGCTCTGTGCGATATCTCCATCAAACGTCATAAGCGTTTTTCTAAGAGCACCTAAAACTTTGCTTTTCTCCTTTTCTTTCATTCCTCTACATCGATTTTTGCCTTGTAGTATTGCGTAATTCCAAGATTTCTCCGCTATTTTAAGTGCTACAAATCTCAGGTTGGTCTTGAAATGCAGCCGACACCTTTTTCTAGGGCATAACAGAATTCGATTTTCGATCTTCGTTTTTGTCTCTGAGGAAAATAAAAGGTTTCAGAGAAGTTAACGAGGATTTTCACTGTAAAACCTCGCGGTCTTTGGTGTCAGATTACAAGTTATCTCTTGTTTGAAGTAATTTGTCGTACCTGTATAAGAACATAATATGAAAGGTTTGAAAAGATTCATACATCGAACAAGTTTTGATTTTAAGAAAATTAAAAAATGATAGTAGAATAAGAAATACTGCACCTGAAAGAGTCTCACCGGTTGTTATTCTCTTTTGGTATATGCCACCTGTAGTTACGGTTCGAAAAAGTGACAAGAAAGTCTAATAATTGACATTAATATGACAAGTGATTACGGTCATCAGAAATGTAAAAGAAAGGTAGAATTACCATTATGTGAGAGTGAGAAAGAAGAGAATGTCATCACTGTATCTGACAAATGTGCTGTAAACGAATATTTAAGAGCCGATTTGTGAGCCCATCAGGCATACGTGAAAAAGTACATAATTTTGTTAAAACTTATTCTTTGATTTAACTACGTCTGTTCGATTGCCCACCTAAAGTTACCTAACGGGTGGCGCATAAAGAACTGCACTGTTAGTATTTTTGATGTTTCTCCTTTATTACTCATTTAATCAAAACAATTTTTGTACCAAAAGATAGAGCTTCAAATTCTCTACATAACCGTATATTTTGTTTAGCGAATATATTCTCCCCGTTGTTTTAATTGAACGTAATCGTACAGTGAAATCACGTACAGAATTTAAAATTTTTTCTTGTTTAATTTTTTTGATACATTAAATGAGATTTTCAGATTTCGTTTAATTATACAGAATTCCGGAGCTCTCGTCACAAAAAAGTCGTGGGTACTTTCGTCATAGCTTTCGTCACATTCTCGTCATACGAGAATTCGATGACGAGACTTCATTGGAACTTTCGTCATAAGGCAACGAGGCAAGCATTGCTTTGAAGATCGATCTTTTTATGTAACATTCCCTAATGCCCATTCACAAAACAAGAAGAAGTCTGAAATGGAGTTTTTCTTCTTGAAAATTTGCTATTCTATTTATTATGAAATAACCATGTCCATTCGCTTAACGGACACTGGCTAACTTTTTATAATATGGTACAAAAATGTGTTAAAATCCATATGACTATACAAATACTGACTTATCTTGATCTTTGTGAGGAAGTACATTTAAAGGATCGACTTGCATCAAATGTTATTGATAGAAAGAAGATAAAATTTGCGTATCAAAGTTCACTGAATACTTCATGGACTGGTCTGTCTCAATCTGTCAGAAACTGCTCGTTGTGCAACATTGTATGTATGCTTGTTTCATGTGTATAGCATTTTTTTATGTTTGTGCTACAATTCTCAATAACTTTTTTCTGATTGAATAAAGTTAGTGCAAGTCACCTGAGCTAAAAGTCTTCTATAGAATACCAACCGGTGAGACTCTTTCAGGTGCAGTATTTCTTATTCTACTATCATTTTTTAATTTTCTTAAAATCAAAACTTGTTCGATGTA